GAATGGGAGAATGAAACATGGCCATTTCTCATCTCAAATGTGGTTACTTGCCTTGAAGAGCAATCCCTAGAATGGATGAATTTTGATGTAAAAATTGATTTTTTTTTGTTTTTCCTTTCTTTCGTTGGCATTAATTGAATGTCTCAAGTACATGATGTTACTATCAACCATTCTCGCCATTCTTTTATTTTTTTTCTTCTTCTTTTTTACCTTTGCAACTCAAAACTTGACTTAAATTTTCTAAAATGAAAGATTCATTGAGGATGCCCTTCCTTGATCAATCACTTAAATTAAAGCTTTACCAACAACTTTGAGCAATCATGACCCCTTCAAAACCTTGAGAGATCTCACTTCAAACCTCAGTTTCACAAATTGCTCATGTTAGCACTTCATGATGAGGGAGAAACAAATATTTTTTGCAAGTCAAGTGTCTTGAAGGTCTTGAGAAATTTTCTTTTTGTTTTTATCATCTTGCCATCAGGCATGGATGAAGGACAATTTTAGGCAACGGGTAGAGAAGCTCACATTTTGGATCCAATTGAAAGAGGTTGAGTGATTTCAAGGTATTTGAAGCTCTGGCTAATCTTGACACTTATCAAATTACCAAATTTAGATTCTTTCCAAGAGTGCAAGATTTTTTTTTTGAAGAAAGATGAATTTGACTTTCTCACAACATTTATCATTACTTAGACGAAGACCATCGTCCTTAGATGTCAAATGATGAGATTGATGAACTTTAGAGCTTTTGTTTGCTTTTGGATTTAGGCCCTTGAATGGCCTTTATTCACTTGGTTAAGGCATTGAGAGTGTTTAAAGATATTGTTTGAGAATGAAAATGAGTTCATTTACAAATAGCAACCACCAATTCTTTCCAAATTTTTTTCACCATTTATTTTATAAGAACCCTCTTTTTTTCTTTTTCATGCATGATTTTGGAAACAAGCAGTATAGGGCTTTATTTTTAAATTGCTAACATTCTAAACTTTTCTCTCTTTTTTTTTTGAAAAGAAAGTTAAATAAACAAGAACCTAAAGGAATTTGAGTAATTTTCAAACTCATATTTACGAACTTGATTCAACTCATGACAGCATGTTATGATGATAAAAACTAAACATGCACTCATCTCAAATTATATGATCATGCATGAAAGACAAAAGTCCATATTCCTAATAGTTTCTGCCCTCACCACTGTTACAGCTAACATAGATGACAAGCTGGCATTGCCCACAGAATTAGGATAGTTTTGACTTTGTGTTGATGAATGGCTTAATCCTGAAAACGTGTAGATCTTTCGATAGTCCCCCTCCTTTCATCGCATTCACTCTCTTCATTAGCTTTGCCAACTATTTTCTCATCTCTTCTTGGGCCTTCTCCATCTTGTCTATTAAAGTTGATTGCTCATTTCTCACATTCCAGCTTGATCCTCTGTATTGTGCCAATCATAAATGGGCTCCCTAGTTTTTTCTTCAATTAGAAAGAATGAAAGATCACAACAATCTCGTTCTTCTTCCCTAGAATGTAGTAAGGTCCGGTGATGCTACTTGCAACAAAGGGAGATGAATGATGGGTTCCTGTGTGTCAAAATCGAAATATGTTTGAATGCATGATGGGATGATTAAATGTATGATGAGTGATTTGAAACCACAAGACACTTGATTGTCACCAACATTATTACACTTCGAACAAACTCTTTTTCAATTTTTCTTGGTTTTTTTGTTTTTTTATATAAAACAACATTTAAGAAAATGTTGAACAAGACCTCAAAAGTCAACATAATTCTTCACAAACATGAACTCATTCTTACAAGATTCATAAGAAGTCAAAAATAAAAAATGTCTTAAGGTCTTAAGAAATGACATAGTCCATCCTTCTTTCATTCTAACACTTAATTGTGCCCCCCATAATCATGCCCCATCATCCTTGCTGGATCAAACCATTTATCATCTATTAATGTTTGCACTCGATACTTGAAGGTGTCACAATCTTCGATGGAATGTCCCATAGCTCCACCATGATAATCAC